TGAAGGAGTGAGTATACACGGGCCTGTCCATGGACTGTCTCTTATACACATCTAGATGTGTATAAGAGACAGCATTATAGCTGTACTTGGGCCAACTCCTTTTCTTCTTTCGTTTTTCTTCTCATCCTTTCGCATGGACCAAGCTAATCTTCTGTGTATCACTCCAATTTGGGTCAACTTTCAGTCTCGATATAGCGATAATGACCATGTGTTCTATTCGGGCGAAGGCAGTACGTTTTGCTGCAGCTCGACCAGGTTCCGGTGCAGCTCGACCGGGTTCTTTTCAGGAATTCAGTTCATCTGGTTCGGTCTGGATTCGGTGTACCAACCGAGCTAGGCCCGGTGTTTTTTTTTTTTTTTTTTTTTCTTCTTCAAATTCCCGATGGACCACGGTTCAGATATTAAAAGCTTATCAGAACAGAATCACCAGATACATTTCACTTGACCAGGTTTTGCTGCATGTGCCCTGGGTTTTTGTTCTTTGCTGCAGATTGACCAATCTTATGTCTGCCATTCGAAAAGGGGGTGGCCCCTAACTCTGACTGCATCCATTTTTGATGCCAGTATGATTTGAACTCATGTCTATTTATTAACGATTGGACGGGGACGTGGGTATTATCCAGCCAATGGGCTGGGTACAGGTTGACCCGTCCTTGATTTTTTTAATTTTTGTTCAATAAATCAGGCCTTTATGGTCCTGAGTCCCTGATTTCTCTCCATTCCAAAACAAGAGTTTGTCGTTTGTTGCCACTGATCGACTGGTGGCTTCGGCGGTGTATTTTTTGTTTTCGCTACACGATGAAAATTGTGTGCAGGCTCAAGTACAGCATGAGTGTTGTGGCTGACAGAGGTCTCAAGCCATCCCAGTATGCATCAGCCCGAGTCAAGAGGGGTGACGTTCTGTATGTTGAAACACGCACGGCAAGGTCTGTTATTTTTTTTTACATTTAAGTTTACTACCATATGAAAGACTGAAATCTTTTTTTTTTCCTTTTTTCAGTTCTTTGATGTGCATCTGATCCAAGTACGCGAGACTTCTGACAGTAACAATACTGCAATACTGACAAACTGTTTTACCACCTTGTTTTCTGTTGCTGTGCTCTCACTGAAGTATGGTAGACTGTTGTTTTATCCACTTTTATGATTCCCCTCTGTCTCCTGACAACGGGCCTTGCTCCACTGCAGAACATTCTGAATGCATTTGGAGCTGGAAATGGTCTCAATGCATTCAAAATGTTCCGTCAGTCCGATTGTACGTGGCCCAGATGACAGTGCATATGTGTTGAATGTTGAGTAGTGGAGCGAGGCCCAATATGTAGATTATGCAAGCTGATGTAAGCCTTCAAGTAGTGTGTAATCCAAGTGTGCATTCGAGAGACGGTTAACGGGGGCCCAAATATTCGCCGTTTTCGTTGGCAATTGCGGTGTGAATTTCATCAAAAATTTTAAAAACAAACGATATGAGACCATAGTGCAAACATCAAAAAAGGAAACAGGCCAAAAAAAACGAAAAAAAAAACAAAAAAACACTATGAAACCCTAACACAAAGACACTGTCCGAGTCAAAATGAAGCGTCCATCGAATCCAACAAAATGCCAACTTTTTTATTATTGATCAAAACATGTCAAAACTGCACACATGACGTACCCTAAAACACATATATATCACACAAAAAGAAAAACAAAAAAAAAGCAAAAAATCAGCACAATATGACAGTTTCAGTGCAATTCGGTGCAAAATTCGTCGAAAATAACACCCCTGGTTAACCACGTGTGAATGTGCCTGAAAAGTGGCAAAAGCAGCCGCAAGTTGTGACAGTTGACTTGAGCTGAGTTTCCAGCCAGAGGCCATATCTCTGAGTTTTCTGTGTGGGCGCATGTCGCCAGTGCAAGTTCATTGCTGATTTCTGAGTTGACGAAGATGGTTTGCCATCGGCTCATACATGTGTACATGTTGGAAGTGATATGGAGTCAAGTCTGGTTTCATAGTGCTCAAATCCGCATTAAAAAAAAAAAATTGTCTTGTGGCTGTATGGGGGGGGGCCAGGGGAGGGGAGGGAGGGGRTTGGGGGCTGGGGGGCKGGGGGGSKGRGGGGGGGGGGAAGTGTTCTGCAACGCAGTTTGGAAACTTTGGGGAGTACAGCCTGCCGTCCCTTCACACAACAGCCACGCTATGCCAGGCTTTTGTCCCCTGCAGTCAGGCTGTGCTCCTTTGGGTGCTCCTTTGAGTCCAGCAGTGGGGCCCCCGACAAACGAGGGGTTGTTGGGGTTGGGGGTGGAATTGGGGGGCTGGGGGGCTGGTGGGGGGTAAATGTTCTGCAACGCAGTTTGGAAATTTTGGGCAGTAAAGCCTGCAGGCCCTACACACAACAGCCACGCTATGCCAGACTTTTGTCCCCAGCAGTCAGGCTGTGCTCCTTTGGGTGCTCCTTCGAGTCCAGCAGTGGGGCCCCCCACAAACGCGGGATTGTTGGGGCTGGGGCGCGGCCTTCACAAAGAAGGGGTGCATTTGGGTTCGGGTGCTGCCTTGGTTGGGCCTCTTCACTGGATCTTTTTCTGTTTTTTTTTTCACCGTGGGAGCAGTTGCTGAGACCAGTTTACGGTTCTGGGGCCAGCAACCGGTTTCACTACTCTCAAACCAGCAACATGTCTGCTGGTTGTGGCAGCACGATGCAGTTGCAGGAACCGGATCAGCAACCCCTCGCATAAACGGTTTTCTACAGCCATTTAGTGCAGCCACAGGTCCAGAACAAGCTGACCACTTGCCTGCTTCAATATTATTTCAACCGCCAGTGGAGGGTCCGGTTTCGGCAACCAGTTGCCAAAACATGACTACCGTCGTCCACCGAATACAAAGTACGATGGTTATTGCTGTATCTGGACTGACAGGTGCCCCAAATACTGGCATAATGACCGTACGTTCTATTCAGGGGACGAAGATAGGAGTGACCACCAGTAAACTGTTGCAGCCAAAATTACCGGTTACGGTTTCCGGCATCGGTTCCAGAAATCATAACCAGCAACGACCGCTGCGAACGAGTTCCCTATCCGCTATGTGCGACTGGTGCCTGAAATCGCTGCCTGCACACAACAACCGCTAAGTTGCAGAAACCAGATGCTGGTTACCATTTCCGCGGCTGGTTTCTGAAACCTAAACCATCAGTAATCCCAGCAGCAATCCCACCAGCAATGCCAGCAAGTCAACATCCAGGAACCGAATTCGGTTCCAGCAAGAGGTTGAAGGGCGAAACCAAACCAGAAGGCACAAGGACACAAAGATTCAAATTTCAAACTTGAAGTTCAGCAGCACAGCTACAATTCGTCTCTGCAACCGTATGGAATACTCCAAAACAACAAAAGTTACAATCCTTCGGGACATCCGTTAAAATTGGAACGATACAGAGAAGATTAGCATGGCCCCTGCGCAAGGATGACACGCATAAATCGAGAAATGGTCCAATTAAAAAAAAAAAAACAATCCTATTGCAGGGAAAGTAAACAGCTCCCGGTTCTGACCTCCATGACAGAACTACAAGGCTGCAACTTTTGCAAGCGTACGACACCTGGAGGCTGGGCCAGAATACAAACAATGAGCTCGACTGCACATGTACGATGGCTACAAAGCAGAAGAAGCAGAATAACAACGGGCTCGGTTGCACAAGTTCACAACGACGACAAGGAAGAAGAAAAAGATGAAGCACATAAGAAGAAGAAGAAGAAGAAGAAGAAGAAGAAGAAGATGGAGGAGGAGGAGGAGGAAATTGGGAGCTAGTCGTCGTCGAGTGAGAATGAGCAAGAGGAGGAGGAAGCCGTGGAGGAGGAAGACGAATGAGGAGGACAAGAAAGGAGGAGGAGGAGGAGGTGGAAGGAGGAGGGGCGGTGCACTAACCTTACAGCAATGGAGTCCACAACGAGTACACACGGCGTCAATGGTGTGGGAGGGCGGGGACACGGGGCCTTGATGCTGACTGCCGGTGGCATTTGAGATCGAATGCCAGGGACGAACGGGCGGGCGCTGAATCCTCCAAGGTCCACACCGTTCGGAGGACGAAAAAAAGAAAAGAAAAGGGGGGGCTGCTGGCCCCCAATTTGTTTTCGGGCGCGAGAGTTATTCGAAGGCCCTCTGCGATCCCCCTTGGCGGTTACCGGCCCAAAAAAAACTTTCACTGCATTTTGCGCTAGAGGGCCCGGGGTCGCAACTGTGTGGGCTGCATGCGAAATCAATAGTATACTGAAAAGAGAAAGGTGATGTTTTGGACGGTTCGTTTTGTCGATTTCTGGACACTTGTGTATGGGCTCCACTAGCATTCTTTCTTATTGTGTCCATCTGATTCCAGTCAGGATTCGACCCCATGATCTGTTTATCAATGTCACATTTGTCTACCATTCAGCCACATGCGTTGGGTGCATGAGCCTTTCGACTCATAACTCACCTCGTCTTGTTTCTGACGCTTTTATGGCTGCGAAAACACCTGATTCTATAACAGACCAAAAGAGGATGAACGACGTCCGAGGAGGTGTTTGTAATGATTAGTTTGTGGGGTTGTGGCCCGTGTGGGTATCTGAGTGCTCAATAGGTGGCAGCAGGCATTGATGTATGTGTGTGGAAGAACGTGATGCAGATCAAAATGTGATTGCTTGTTCCTGATGGCCAATTTATTTGTCTTATCGTGGGAAGCAATTCTCTATACTACAAACCCATATGCGTGTGCACGAAGTGTGATGATCGTGATGATGATGATGATAATGATGATGATGATGATGCTTCTTGCTGTTGATCATGGTGGTACTTCTCGCTGTTGATGTTTGGTTGTCAAGGGGAGAAATTCTCTATATAGTACTACTAGTCTACTACAGCTTAATGTGTCTTGATAAAATGTGGTGTGGTGATGATGATGATGATGATGATGATGATGATGATGATGATGGCAATGATGGTGATGATTGTTGCTGTTGATGTCTGGTTGTTGAGGAGAGCAATTCTCGGTAGTGCAGCCCATGCGTTTATCAGAAATGTGGTAATGATGGTGATGGTTGATGATGACGGTGATGGTGATAATGATTATGATGATGATGATGATGACGGAGATGGTGATGATGATTATGATGATGATGATTATGATGATGATGATTATGATTATTATTATTATTATGATGATGATGCTGATGATGCTGCTGCTGATGATGATGATGATGATGACGATGGCGGTGGTGGTGGAGGCGATGATGATGGTGATGATGATGGCGGTGACTCTTGTTGTTGATGCTCGGTTGTACAGCCCATGTGATCGAATAGAATGTAGTAGTTATGATGGTGATTGATGATGGTGATTGATGATGGTGATTGACAACCGTGGTGATGATTCTTGTTGTTGTTGCTTGGTGGTCCAGGCAATCCATTCTTGCTAGTACAGCCCATGTGTTTGCACAGGATGTAGTAGTGACGCAGATGATGATGATGACGAATCCCATCTTGTTGTTGATTCTTGGCTGTCGGCGGGAGCAGCGGTTCTTGCTACCGTCTTCACCGAAATAGAACGCCTGGTCATTATAGCCGTATTGGGAGCAACATTCAGTCTAGATGCAGCCATAATAATGACTGGGCGTTCTATTTTGGTGAAGACGGTAGTGCAGCTCATGCATTTACATAGAATGTAGTAGCGATGGAGATGATGATGGTGATGATTTTTGTTGTTGGTGCTTGCCCATCGAGGGGAGATTGATGCTTTCTAGTACAGGTCATGTGATTGCTTAACGTGATGTGGTGATGATAGTGATGACCTCTGTTGTCGATGCTCGGTTGCAGGTATGAGCTGTCATTTCGAGGGGAGCATGCCGCTTGTAACGGACTCCCGACTGCAGCGGGAGGTACGGGTGGCGCAACTGTGCAGCCGCACACAGGTGGAAATGGCAGTTTGGCAGGCGGAGGCGGAGCCGGAGCGACTCCCTCAGGGAGAATATCTGGTAGTGCGGACGGAGGGCATGGCCATCATGCCCAAGTCAGTTCCTACGGCGAGAACTACTACCGATGGGCGAGATGCAAACAGCCTTTGCCTGTCGCTATCATGAGAATGAAAGGCATACCCCTTCCCCTTGACTGTGTCCATGTGGAGGAGGATTTCCTGTTATGGGAAGAACTCCGCTGGTCGACTTTAGGAGTCTGGGTCAGGGGGAAGGAGTATATATTGGTCCGCGCACATTTCGTGCCAAAGACGAACGACAATTTCTGAGAACAAGTAAATAAAAATTATTCAATTCCTGCTCCTGGTTCTTTCTACACCCCCTTGTGTTAGCATTGCAGCATGACTCCTGACTCTTTTTACACTCCCTTGTGTTGGCAGTGTAGCATAACCCCCCTCCCCCCCACCCGCCCCCCACCCCTTTTTGTGTGTGTCGTATCTTCCCCTTGGATGAATTTCTGCGGTCGTCGCTATGTCGTTGCCTGTGTTCACAGGTGGTATCCTTTTGAGCTCCTCTATAGTGTGCTGCCTTTTTTTTTTTCTGGCAGGTCTTGAACCACTGCCTTTCGGAATGTGTTGGTCTTGTTTCGGCAGATGCTTGCTTCGATGTATGCATGTGAAGTCTCCTTTCTTAGGAGTGTTTTTGTTTTTTGTTTTTTGGGCTCCCCTTTCACATCTTCATCTCCATCTTCATCATCACTGCGAGGCTTCATCTCCTCCTTGCTTCATCCGTCTACTCTACGTAACAGTACGGAGGAACACCCACCAATCCGTAGCTCTCCCTAGCCCGCGGGGTGCATTTGCAGCATAGTGTTGGTGGGAGAGCGAAGCCGTACCAGCGCCTCATCACAGTGATGTGGGGATGGGCACGTGTCCCCGGAGGCCCGGTGGAGGGGAACCACTGGCAGTGCTAGTGCCAAGGACCATGGCCAGTTGCTGCGCTCCCCTTCCCCCCCCATTAGCGGTCTATAATGGCCGATCTTGTTGATGCGTCACACTGTACTAGCCCCTCGTCACGATGGTGCGGGGATGGGCATGAGTCCTCAGTGGGTAAGGACTGGCAGTGCTAGTTCCGAGCACTGTGGCTAGTTGCTGCCCTCCCCTTGGGGACATTTGCAGCGTCATGTTGGTGAGATAGTAAGCTGTACCAGCCCCTCGTCGCAGTGATGTGGGGATGTGCACGCGTCCGAGGAGGCTGCACTCCCCTTCCCCCCCCATTAGCAGCGTCTAATAGCCGATATTGTTGATCTGTCACACTCTACCAGCCCCTCGTCACGGTGATGTGGGGACGGGCGCGAGTCCGCGGTGGGGGAACACTGCCAGTGCGAATGCGAAGCACTGTGGTCAGTTGCTGCCCTCCCCCCCCTCGCCCCCATTAGCGGTGTCTAATAGCCAATGTTGTTGATGTGTCACACTTTCCCAGCCCCTCATCACGGTGATGCCGGGATGGGCTGAAGTCCCTGATGGGGGAGCACTGGCAGTGCTAGTGCCGAGCACTGTTAGCAGGGTCTCATAACAAATATTGTGGAAGTGTCAGATTGCAAAATAACAAAGTACACACGATATCACACATGCAGAGCACGTAATTATCGTAGCCGAAAAACGGTGAAACAGACTCCCAGGCGTCTCCCGAGTACTGCTCCATCTAACCACACTCCCTCAACTTCGAGTAGCAAACATGGAACGTCGTATGACCGCCCATGCTGCTGTCCCAACCTGTTGCGAAAGAGGATTTGCTCGAAGACAAAACGTTCCTAATATACTACCTCGAAAGACATACACCTACGTACAAGTCACCTGAAAAACAAATCAATAACAAAATCACGAAAAACAATACACCGCCAAAATTTACTAGGAAATCACGACAACGTCAATGGTTCACTCGTCGTCAAGTTCCAGATCCCGTCTCATTGCTTCGCGAAGGCATCGACCGCCTTCGAGAAGAAACGGTCTGGGAATCCCTTCGCGTGGTACTCCTGCCTCAACAAAATCACTTGGACCGGGATCTCAGTCCGATCTGTTGTGTTTCCTCTCCAACCTCCCTGCAAACCCAGCTACTTTTAGCTTGCGGTTTGTCCAGGATCTGAAGTCCTGGCCTGTTCGAATGACCAGCAGCTGTTTTGACTTCAGTCTGTTTTGACCCCTCATTTTTTACTCTCTGAACAGACCCCAGAAAGGGATGGGACTGCCTAACGCTTAACCGACAAAAGTCCCAGGTACCGGTTCGGTCGTCTGTCCTCTTCAGAGTAAGGTCCCGGGGGTAGCATTTTTCAAAAACACCCCTGATTCTGTTAGCTCTGGTGCACGAACGACTGTCCCCTGTTCTGAAAGTAACGAACAGGGGGACATCATCCAGAAGCCGGATCCCAGCCACCAACTTCCTGTCAGCACCCATGGAAGTGTTACACTGAACAATATTGGCTACGCTCCTGCTAATGCTGGGGCTATCTGTAGGTGGTAGGGCACCAAGCATGCCCAGGCCCATCTGGGAAGGCAATGGGAATTGAACCGACAACCTCATGAATGCAACTTGTGTGTCTTACCGACTGATCTAGGCCCGTTGGCTTCCTTCGGCGTTGGGGCTATCTGTGGGTGGTAGGGTACCAAGCATGCCGAGGCACATCTGGGAAGGCAATGGGAATTGAACCGACAACCTACTGAATGCAACTTGTGTGCCTTACCAACTGAGCTAGGCCCGTTGGCTTCCTTTGGCGGTCAGGTCTCAGGCAATGAAGGAGTGAGTATACACGGGCCTGTCCATGGATGTATCATGTCAGAGATGAATGACAGTACCTGCAAAAACGAAGACAAAAGAGAGAACCCGCAAGGAACTTGACGACAACTGTCTTCCCCGGAACGCAACACACCTTCATAATGACTGCATCAGAGCCGAAAAAGAGTTGGTATACATTCATTATAAGGGTGTGTTGTGTTTGGGAGAAGACGCTAGACCGGACGCAGAACCGACAAAGCGACGATAATGTCCACAAAGGAATGGCGTTGTGTTTGGGAGAAGACGCTTTAGACAGAAGAACCGACAAAGCAACTATAATAATGTCCATGAAGGAGCGGACAACGTTGAAGTCTCTTTGGTGGTGGAAAACTTAAGGGACAGCATCGAAATCTCTCTGTCGAAAAAAAGCCCCCTTCTCGTCGCCCAACGATGAGTATCGTGTCCACTATCGTCGTTTATCTGCCACAGAGTTCCTTACTGCTCCCTCTGCTGTCTGCGTGTGGATCCGTGTCATGCCCGCGCTCTCTGGGGCATCCACGTCCACAACTTCGATTTATCGTTTTCTTTTTTTTTCCCTTTTCCTCTTTTTCTATGAAGGGAGACAACCTGGAGATATCATCATCGAACTGACTGGCGCTAGGTAAGTCAGAATTGGAGTATTTCACTCATCCGCTTTCAGTGGAGTTCGAACTCGGGTCTGATTTCAACAGTTCAGGGTATGTACCAACTGAGACAGGCCGGTTGGTTTTGATTTCTCTTGTCGGTTAAAAATCCCTGCTTTGTTCCGTGCCGGCCTGTACGATAATCCACCATATCTGCTATGATGTTATCCCATCCTGTACTACTCTGCAGAGTTCCAAACTACTCTCTTCGCTGTCTGATTGGCGCTTGTAGACGTGCCATGCTCGAGCTCTACTCAGACTGCAGCAGGTTCATCTCTCGTCACCCGTCCCTCCCTAAAACTGGTTGTTTGTGTGTGTGTGTGTGTGTGTGTGTGTGTGTGTGTGTGTGTGTGTGTGTGTGTGTGTGTGTGTTTCTTTATCCGATGGTGTACTTTTTGGCTGACATCTGTTGCATTGTCTTGAGAGCAAAAGCTTCAATGCCGGAGAAATGGTTGCTGCCGTGGATGAGGTGAAGAAGGGCTGGGTTTGTTTACCCGTGTCGTTTGCTTCAATGGAAGTTTATGAATCGCCCTACCTCCCCAGATGTTTCACCAAAAGGAAACGGAAAAAGAAAGGAGCAGTCTTGTTGAGAATATGCATCTGATGATCGGAATGTTTCGCATTCCCATATGTCGTAGGTATTTTCTGAATGTCGCTCTTTTTCTTTCCTTTTTTTTTGTTTGTTTGTTGTTGTCCAGTGTCCATGAGTGCGCAGGGGCCACATGCTAACCTTCGCTGTATCGTTTCAGTTTTAACAGCTTTCCCTAAGGTTATCTTTCTTTTTTTTGCTTTTTGCAAGGAATATGAGCGAGAGCGATAGACAGAAATACAAATTGCAAAATCGCGCTGAAGTCCAGATAGTCATGTACCAAGCAGAGAGCATAATTCACCAAGATACCATCCAAATAAGAGCCCAATAAAATGAACTCAAATGTCAATGCCGACGCTCTCTGGCCACACTAACATGATATCCAATGTCGCTCCTACTGAGTGGCGCCCAGTGCCCAGCCGACACTACTCAGCGTCTCTATCCTATCTATGTTCATGCAACAGGAACACAACGAAGTTGAAGACCAATGTACGTGACGCCAACACCAATGCAGACAGCCAGCATACACCAGGTACGTGTCTCACATCTCTCCTCATCAACCCCTGTCTCCCCTCTGCATGTGCCTCCTACCCGAAGACCGCCTTCACCATCACTATGCATGCGCCCAGCAGCCCGGCTATGGCCGCCGTGTCCGCTGCCACCACAGCGTCCCTCTCACCCCCAGCGCCCTTGCGCAACCTGGCCAGCAGCGCTAGCGCAGCTGCTCGTGCGACAGCGCAGCAGCATGGCCGCATTGCCTGCACTAGCCAGAATGTCTCCTCTGCCCAGGCTCACTTTCCTTATGGAAAGTGGGCTCTGCCTTGTGAGCTCTGGCCCTGGCTGGACGTGTTTCCATTAGATTCCAGTCGGCCCCCAGTTGATGTTACGGGCCTGAGCACTTTACAGTTGGCCATGCCCAGCTAGCCCACGAGGCTACAAGTGTTCGCTGCAATCTCATTTGCTCGTGGCGTATGTGTGACGACAATAAAGCATTCTCGTTGGTCCACGGCGGCTGAGTGATGTGTCGGCCTCTCACTGCATGTGCCCAGGGCCGCAACCACCTGAGCCCTGGGCTCAACTATCGCGCGTAGCAGCTGCTTCTGGAAGAAGCCGGAGAAAGGCTCACGTTGCTTCGTAACCAACTGGCGTGCTGCAACTGTCTGATACCCTACATACGTAAAATGGCAAAAACAGGCCTCATGCAAATATGCTGGCCCGCCTTCACTTAGGGCGGGCATGAGGCTTGATGGCGCATTGAGCCCAAAATGTCTGGGTGCCCCGAAAAGGGCCTTGCGAGGGCTCAATCCTTGCATT